CGAATTCCAACTGCCAAGGGAACTTTTACGTGCACGCCAATGTGTACACGAGACCTCGGTTTTTCGTCCCATCCAAACGACTAGGCAGCTGTCCTTGTCAGGCCCTCCGACCTGCATCACTGACAAGGGGAAACCACGCCGGAAAATCGGGATGAACTTTCTCGGCCAATGCAGGGATCGAACACCCGACCTCCAGGCTAGCTAGCCAGCGTATTACCCACTTAGTCACGCGATCTCCTTCTTATAGCAAGTATTACCATTTCCTTGTTTTTATTTCTTTGTTCATGATTCGAAGAAGTCTACTGATTGACAAGCATCTCTGATAAAATGTTTCAATGGCATTTAGTAATTGAACTGGAATATACAGGTCACAATTCTATGGAATACAGCTTGATAATGACTAGAGAAGCCTAGTCGAAACGTCGCTCAGCAATAAGCAGTAATTGTATTCCATAGAATTGTGACCTGTACATGTCTGATAACTCGAACAGTTATCATTTTATAACCATAATAAATGTCGGCACTAGGGAGAACTAGAAGCCAATCAAATTTTAATTATTGCAGATAGATAATTACTTCATAAGTTTTTACTATTCATCACTTAGTTGCAGTGGCTGGCAACCTACCATTTTATGCTCAGACGAGATAGGGTTTAAAGTTCATTCGACACAAACTAAGTCATTTCGGGATTAACATGGTTCAATTTTATTTCAATAATTCTCTTGTACGTAGGTGTCTTTAGAAGTAGGAGGAAACCGTACTTCTTGTCGTGTCCAAGCGGGGAATCGACAACACACCACTTGTCTCAATAACAGACCTGGTCTCACCTTGTCATGCCGGAGAGTCTGAAGAGTTGTTCGGATATTCCATGTATACATTTTAGAGCACGGTGGGGGAAAGTTCCGCGGATATTAAAGCCTGCTTTTCTCTCATCGGTGGTGCAGGACATAGGCCTTGGCAAAGAAAGTCGTCTTGTCGTTCGGATTTCCGACTGTCAGGCATCTTTTATGTGCTGTTAACGGTGTAGCCAGGCTTGAAATCCCGAAGAACTTTCTTCGCCGACGCCAGGATCGAACCCGAGACCCCCTGGTTAATGAGCCAGCATAATACCCATTGAGAAACCCTGGCTTCCTCTTCTATTAAAAATAAAGTTTGCAGACAAATTATTCCAATCGATCAAATCTAACTTATGTTATTATGGTCATTTTAGTTTTTGATTCGTTTCTATTGATTTCACATCGCCATGTTTATCTATCGTAGTTAGGTGGCCGAACATAGTTACGCGTGCGCGTTGGATAAGAAGATCTGCCATTGAGTCAAGTGGCGAGGTTTCGATTCCTCGCTTGTACGTGACAAAGAGTAGGATCGCCTCTCCAACCTCGTGGGCTTTCTCTGGGTTCTCCGGTTTCTTCCCACTACCAAAGACCTCTATACGCACAAGCGAAATTGTACTCTCTTTTTAGTACAAAGTACCTCATTCGTCTTTTCATACCCTGATGTACTTAAAGATGCATTATATAAGAGCTAAATCTGCCTATTGCAGGTCTATCTTTTGACTTCAAATGATATATAAATTAACATTTAAACATTTATTAACACAAGCCCATCTCTAGACTATCGGATGATCGATATTTAAATATATTTAAACATCCACGAGATTTGAAGATTTAATTATAAAATAAACAAACGAGGCTAAGTCTCGGCTATCAAGTACCGTTGCTACGATGATATTCGATCTACGATAAATCTCCGAACAGTCATAACTTCCTCAGAATAAAGTAATTAGAATGAAATTTTCAATATATTAATTTCTCATTATCTATTAGAACAAGAATGTCCACTCTTCATAACGTAGATAACAACAGTCTTTACATTAAATTAGTACATACTTTTGACTTTTGAAATATATGTGAACAATCTGTCTTGTTGTGGCTTTAACTTGAATCTCTACATTCTTTTAAAATATATCTTGAACTCACCCTTCTTCCACGCCATTGTTTATACCGACAAAGTGCTTCGTCAAAAAAAATATAAAAGAAAAAGAAAAGAAAGAAAATTCAAGTTGCTGTGTCTCATGTACCTCGGTGACATCACTAGGTTTGTTTCGATGTAAAGTTATATCGATTTGTTGTTACAATGTTCTCAACTTACTATCTTATTTCTTTATAATATATTGGTTTATTTTCACATTCTCTACTGTTCATTCTATATTTCAGCTGCATATTTGATTGACTGCATTGTTTATTGCACAATGCCAAGTTTTAATGTCCACCGAGCCTGATATTCGTTTATTGCGATTACATTTTCATAAAACATACTGTTCCAGCTCAGAGAAATCAAACCAAACATGGCCAATTCCTAGACATAAAAATAACGGAAGTGAAGGTGAAGATTGCTTCCAAGAGTCTGCGTGTATTACTTGTTTAAAGAGATATTCCTAGATATATTAATGCATGCAATTTGCCATGAGTTTTTGAATTCCGCAGTACACACACAATATATTCAGATTTTATTTGAGCTTTTTTTGTAGATTGTTATTAGAGGGAGGCAACCTGCTTATAAAAGCGCCTTTTGGATGCAGACCACCATTAAGTTTTCCCAACTCTTTGCACTGCCTTCAACCATTACTCTCTCTCACTTAAAATTTTCTGCCAGGCTTAAGTAACTATTCATGGTATGGATGATAGGGTTAAATGGTTGGTTACACATTTATTGTGCTACTTCAACTTTGTGTAGCTCAAAATCGCGGAAAAAATCTTTATTTTGAAGGTTTCGACGTTTAATAATGGAACGCCATTATTTCAAGGGTAACCATTAGGCGATAATATTATTTTTTTTCAACTTATTTCTAATGTTATCGACATATCAACTATGATTTGGCACCGTATTAATATTGACAGGTGGCATGACTGTATTTCATTTTTTTTCCATCACTTCATGATGATATTTTGCGGGAAAATGGGATGATGTGCAGATTTTGATTTAAGTAGTAGGGTTTGGTGTCAATATCATATGTTCTCGGGGCGCAGATTCCATTTGTGCCATTTACACCTATGTAAAATGATCACATGTTCACATATTTAGCATATTCCCAATATGATTGTCATTTGTGGCGGGAAAGTAGGACGATGTGCTGATTTTGATTAAGTATTCGTGTTTTGTGTCGATATAAATATGACTTCAGGGGCACAGATTCGATTTCTCCCATATACAACTGCGTAAAATGATTATTTGTTCACCAATTTAACATATTTCCAAGAAGCCTTCGTGGCATAGATTATGTTATCAACTGACTTCCAAGCTGAATGTGGATAGAGCATGTGGAATGCTGTTGCCACTTTAAACAATTCCGTGGCCAGCTATCTTTGACATCACTGTCATCGGTGCTTTCAATGGTGATGGCAGTGATATCATAGATGACCGGTCCCGTCGCCCTTTAAGTGGTGATATAGTTTGTTTTCCCAGCGCAACATCACCCCTCTTAACGATCCCGTCCACACACAGCTTCACACACAGTTTTGATTTAACTTTTGCTTTTGGTTGACTTTTGCTTTTAATTTACTTTTGATTTTGATTTTGCTTTTCATTTCCATTTCATTTTATTTAGGTTTTTAAAGAAATTTTGTTAAATCCTGAATGATAACGATAGGCCACCATACATGTCTTTAAATGGCATTTAAAATATACGCCTTCTCGTATTATCAGCATCTGACATTTCTTCGTTTCGTAGTGAATTTTCCGGTATTCTATTTTTTACAGCAGAATAAAACATACGCTGGGAATAAAGAAATCCCTACCATCAAGTCGCATTGTCCCAAATTTTTTGGGCGTTCGCCAGTTGCCGTTTTCGGAGAATCACAGACACCGAATCCAGCTTGTTTATTAAGTTCAATTTAGTTCTTGTTTTAAAGTGTATCTTAACATTAATTTGTATGAACCTAAATTTTAATAAGAAGTCAACACTTCAAATAGATTTTAGTTATTTTAATCCACAACCATTAAAGAAATTGGTAAACAATCATTTCAAACGCTAAACTTTAGCGTATATTTTCTTAAAGATGGGTTCCCAGAAAAGTATTTATCGGTTGGTTATTTCCAGTAAAAGTATGGTAATTTTGGTATATATGGAAAGTAGAGATATCCAATCTTACTAGAAAAATACTGAATTCCACGAAAAACACTCATGGAGCGTATACAGGACAAAGGTGTAGGGGTTCCCCTAATCAACAGCCCGACGATTAGGAATTTCTGCACGCCTGATGTCAAAGGTCACACGCGAACATTGAGCGCTTGATGTAAAAGTTGATAAACTTTATGAAGAGTTAGACGTACAACACTTTCTGAGATAAAAATGACGGAAAAAGACGCGGGTAGTGGATAATCCGAGAATTTAATTAGGATTCGATATTTGTAATAAATAGTAAGCGATTAAAGACAACATCGTCTTATGTATGCAATGACGTAAACATGACCTGGTTTGATCGAATTTTTATAGCAGGACATTCCTTCGAAATTACAATGTTTGAGACAGATTTGAAGCAAAGTTATGACAAATTATTTAGTTTGAATATGTTTTTAGTCCATATATACCATTAAATCACCCAGTTTGTACGCGGGAACCCATCTTTAAAGAACAGTAAATTCTTGATTTCACTCTCACCTCAATTAACCCAAAGTCTGTCATTGAGTCAACTGGCGTGGTTTCGATTCTCCGGTTGTACGTGACAAGGAGTAGGGTCGCCTGTCCAACCTCGTGGGTTTTCCCCGGTCCCCCCCCCCACTGCTAAAGACCCCTACGCGCAATTGAATTATGGAAATAAAATTGAACCATATGTTAGTCCCGAAATGACCTAGTTCGTGTCGAGTGCACGTTAAACCCCATTTCTCTCTCTCTCTCTCTCTCTCTCTCACTTTAATACAGATTGAAAGGACCGATAACTCTAACAGTTCACATGTTTGAGTCCTTGTCCGGATTTCATACGGTGATATTATTTGTTAGATGTGTGCATGTAAACAAAACGATGGCGAGAATTATTGTGTATCATCAGTCTTTGAAATGTCGATTAATAGAAGCATCTATAACATTCAAATATTAGCTGTGAATTCGTCAAAATGTTTATTATCATCTTCATGGTGGTTACCATGAGACGGTTACCTTTAGTTTTGAAGCAAACTGTTAGACATCCAGGTAAATATGAAATCACTAATTAATAATGTGCCAGCAGCCATTTGATTTAGAAATGACTATTTGTCCTGTAGGGAGCCATTGCAAAGTCTGTTCACCAATTTTCTACCTGGCAAGAGTTAACCTGAATGTTTACTGTACATTAATCGAAGTTGTGGACCCAATTTAAAGCCCCTCGAAATATAGTTTATATTAACAAACACAATAACATAACAAATGAAACGATTGACAAGTCTATTTATTACACTTTCTATTTCTATTTACATATTATAATATTTTATTTTTCAAAAAGCCTGAAATTTACAACAAAATCACAATCAATTTTGTGGAATCAGGATATAAAGAAAATTTAGAATACTGGATGGAAATTAAAAATAAATACAAAATTGAATACAGTCATGTGGTTTGTCGTCCTAGTTTTAGTTTGTGATGAAACTGTAGTTCGTAATTTATGGCGTTGAGACTATAATTCTTCTGAATTTATACCAGATTTGCTCGATATTTTAGTTCAAATATCCAATGGTGAACTTTTTCTGTTGGTGCACTGTTTGAGAGAGAGAGAGAGAGAGAGAGGGAGAGAGAGTTTAAAGTCCACTCGACACAAACCAGTATATGAAATGCCTATTTAAACAAAAGGTCGATATTGAAGTATCAAAACTAAAATATAATACGTCAACGTGAATCATGTTCTCAGTTGCGTGCTGTATCATAAGGCCTGTCTTTGAGTCAACTGGCGTGGTTTCGAATCCCCGGTTGTACGTGGCAACGCTAAAGCCAATTATTGAAATAAAATTGAACCATATCTTAGTCCAGAAATGACCTAGTTTGTGTCGAGTAGACGTTAACACCCCCCCCCCCCCTCTCTCTCTTATTGTATTGTATAATAGAGGTATCTAATCCTGCTTTTAGCTCTCAAATTGTGGTTCCGAAGTGGCAAATATTGAAAGCTGTTTGGTTAGATGTCAGGAACAGGAATACAAAATTTATAAATTGCAGTTGAAGAATGACAGTTTATCTGAAGATTGATACCAATTTTGTTAAATCGGCTTAGTTAAAGTACCCGTAAGAGTTATACTGGTTCAAGTACCCGTAAGAGATATTCTGGTTAAAGTGCCCGTAAGAGTTATACTGGTTTAAATATCGATTTTTTGATACCCTTTTTGTTAAAAAAAAAAAGAAGATTATCAATAGCCGTCTATGGTTGAAATGGCATTTAATTAGTCAAGATGAAGTCAACTACCACCTTACATATTTAATTGTTTTAGTACTAGTTTTGGTGGTCTGCCACAAAGTTTGCCACGGAAACAAGTTAACCCAAGGCAACCGAAATGGCCGCTATATAGTATACTTTACTGGTCAGGATAATACCATTTTCTCTGAACCCACAAACGTATATAAAATTCTTAATTTATTCTAGGACTGCTGAAAACTATTTTAATTCATTCATTCACCTGTTCGCTGATGCACAATATTATATTATTTCTACAGACGAATTTACGCACGTTTTTTTTTATTCTGGATTTTCAATTCAAGGTCCTTCCTATTAGTTGAACCTATTGTAATTCATTCATTCACCCGTTCGTTTATTGTCAATATTATTATTCCTGCAGTCCATTTCACTCATGTTTGTTGTTTTTTCTCTATTCAAGAATATACTTAATCGTAGTTTGTTATACTTTCAGAGTTCCTGAAGATCATGTTGTTAACCAGCCTCGTTTTCAATTTCTTCCTGATCGCCATTTTGAATTCCCGGATGTACGGCACAAGACAACAGCCAATCCACATTCAGCCTTCGTCACGCGATACTTTAGAATGGCCAAGACATACACTTTGTATTTATTTTGAAGGTGGTTTGGGCAACAATTTATTTCAGTACGCATCTACATTTGGAATCGCCAAAAACAAAAGCATGGGTGTGATCATAAGCAGACGAAGTTACATTTTAACTCTATTTGACATGCGCGTACTAACTTATAATCATGTCTGTGAATGCAAAAGGCGGAAGGTAATAATTGAAAAAAAGCCCTGCAGATTTGACTCTAACGTGTACAATTTCTCTCCTTCGCGAGATTATCGAATAAGAAACTTTCTACAGTCCTGGAAATACTTTGAAAACAGCATGGAAGATATTCGACATCAGTTTGTTATCAAAAACCATTTTCGACAAAAGGCACACGACATGATTCAGCAATATGTTACTTTACATTTCCAAGAAAAGAAGAGCGTTATTCCTAAAAACCTAATTTATGTGGGAATTCACATCCGCAGAGGTGACTATTTGAAGAAAAAGAACAAAGCGTATGGGTATCGCACGGCGCCCAAAAGTTACATTTACAAAAGTATTCAATATTTCCATGAGAAACATGATCATGTGATATTTTTGGTCTGCTCAAATGATCTAAAGTGGGCCCGGAAAGTACTTAATGGTAGAAATGACATCATATATGTAACAAGAAATCGTCGAGAGATCGACTTTGCCATTTTGACATCGATGAACCACTCCATTACAACAGTTGGAACATTTTCCTGGTGGTCTGGTTTCCTTGCCAACGGAACCGTCATCTATTTTAAAAACTTTATAGCCCCGAATACTCCACTTCGCCGTGAGTTTAGTCTCGATTTTGAAGACTTCTTCCTTCCACATTGGATACCAATGTAAATTTGTTATCATTCAGAAATATTTTTTATTTATTGTGATCTCGTTTTCTGACAGTTAGGTAGGTTAAAAGACACAATATTGGCGTCCATGGATTTTACATCTGTGACAGGATTCGTCAAATAGACTCCAAATATAATTTTGACAGAGACATCTTTATTATGGTTGATTCGTAACAACGTTTTGACGACCCTAGAAGTAACACAAAGAAAGGGTTGCGTTTATTTATATTATCGTTCCATTCGTCGCCCACCTGACTATAATTTGTTCTTTACCTCTTCCGCCCAAAATACCCTGATTATACAATGAAGAGTGACGACTATCGAATAATCACCAAAATTCTATCTTGCATTTTGAAAAGAATAATTTTGAAAATGGAACAATCTTGAATTCATTAGCTATCTTTAATTACCCTCCAAGTGCCTTTATCCAAGGGAGCCACGGTGGTTCAGTGAGTTAGACGTTGGCTTGCTCAACCGGACGTCTCGTGGTCGACCTTGGTATTGGCCAAGAAAGTCCATCGTATTTATTTGGTATAGTTCCCGTATTAAGGTACGTATAAATAAATAACTAATGGTATTTCCGACGGTTAAGTCGCGGAGTGCCCCGATCACATTGCCCATTATCTGTGCAAGTTAGGGATTTCGATCCTGTATTCATACAGTCTAACCGTATTAGCTTTCACATTTTGAACAGATTTCAGCACGGGTAATCTGCTTGGTATTACCGCTAATGGGAAATAACTCGTTAAGGGTTATACAATGTATACAATTCAAAAAAAGTAGGGGATATTTGATTTTTAAGTGTTATTAAAGTCACCTAATGAAACTGACGAAGAAACAAATGACAAAATGAAATGAAGTTCACATTCATCGATTTATTCCAAATGATCGTTAGACTAAGTAAGGCACAGACTGACCATTATAAGGGTAAAATGATACCCGGGGTCAAACAGCAAAGTTACCACAGCATCACAACCAAGTCAGTAACGGGTAAATCCTCCTCTGTTTGCCAAACAAGCATTGATCCGACGTGGCATACTCCTAATGAGACGTCTAAGGTCATTTTGGTCCAGATTGTCCCATTCCTGTTGCAACGCAGCAGCAAGTTCTTGGACATTGGCAGGACGTTGTTGACGTTGACGTAACCTCTGTCCAAGCATATCCCAGACATGCTCGATGGGGGAGAGGTCGAGACTCAGTGCTGGCCAAGGTAATGTGGTGATGTTCTGTTGTTGGAGGTAACCTGTAACGATCCTGGCCCTGTGACATCTTGCGTTGTCATCCTGGAAGATGAAACAGCGGCCATGACGTCGTGCGAACGGCACAACATGGACTGCCAAGATGTTGTCCCGGTAGTACTGGCCTGTAACACGCCCTGCAACAACATGTAAAGCCGTTCTTCCAGCAACAGTGATGCCTCCCCACACCATAACAGAACCACCCCCAAATCGATCATGTCTGATGACGTTAACGTCTTGGAAGCGCTCGTTTCGACGACGCCACACCCTCCTACGTCTGTCCAAAAAATCAACAGTGAACCTTGACTCATCTGAAAACATCACATTGCTCCAGCGTCGATTATCCCAGTGTTGACGATCCCTACACCAACGACGTCTTGCCTGAATGTGATGATCTCTCAAACAAGGGATCACGCGAGGACGTCGGGCGCGAAGGTGACCCCTATGCAGTCGATTCCGAATCGTCTGGCCACTCACTCTCACACCAGTGTCTGTTTGAAGACGAGCGCTGATCTGATTTGCTGTGATGACACGATTTCTCAAGGCCAAGGTACGGATAAATCGATCCTGGGCTTGAGTTGTCGCCCTTGGTCGACCTGAGCGTGGTCTGTCCTGTACAGATTGTGTATCACGGTATCTGGACCATAGCCTGCTTATGACAGACTGAGAAACATTCATCGTCCGTGCCACAACCGCCTGTGTTGTGCCGATCTGTAGCATGCCAAGGGCACGTAACCTTTTATTTTGGGTAAGCCGACGCATATCAAAATTTGTTTTCTGGTCACTAAAACAATTAAACTGATGTTTCCACCCTGGAATTCAATGCCACAATGACTGTAACATTCAAAGTCAGAGTCGTGCAAATCTTGGGTTGGACCCCCATGATGATCCCAAGCATCACCTGCATTCCATGCGGTAGCTATTGGTGCGTTTGGGCGTCACATGTAACTGGAAATGTTTCTTCTGTTAGGTTTTATAGTGACTTTTTTCGTAGTCATTTGCATATTTTAGTATTATGCCCCCAAAATCAAATATCCCCTACTTTTTTTGAATAGTATAGTTAAAATGATTTGGGATCAGACCATTATAATTTGAATACGGTTATATATTGCGAATAGTTACATGTTTACAGTTTACGCGTATGGTATATTACAATAATGCACAATGGTGTTCCGATAATACGTTTTAGGGACACATTATTTGGAAATAAATTTTTACTGAGTTTCCGGAGCCGAACTGTCGATGTTGGTGCGTGTAATTTCATGTATTTTCGCGGTCAACCCCATACAAGCTTAGAAGCTTATTTCTTGATATTGTAGTGGAGGGTCCCCTAGTAAGAACGAATAGACCAATCCTTGAGTAAATATTTTCAATACTATTTGAAATCAAAAACACAAATTAGAATTCAATATTGGTCCGTTTCAATCAAGATTGGTGTTGTAATATCTTGCCTTGAAACTAGAGGATCCTAATACCCAACATTTAAGACACCATAAACATTTGATAATTAGTACAAAATTCCTGTATTCTTTCATTTCGCGTGCGAATTGTAATGAACAAAATAATGATAAAAAAACGCCCCCACAGTGCCCCGCTCTCTCCTTCGCACAATGAAAAAGTTGTAGTGGCACCCTATAAATTTATTTAGAAATGTACTGTGCTAGAAATTAATGTATTACTGAACTATAAGATGATCATTATTTATTTATTACCCCCCCCCCCTTCCCGCCAATCCACATACACACATGTACCCACGCACACACGAGTTTTCACAACACTAACTTACGCCGACACACACTAGTGTAAGATATGTTTGTACATGACGTATTTGAAACATACATTTAGGTCTACGTGTGTTTTTGAATTGGTGTATTTAAAATAAATGAACAACGTAATAAACTGTAACAAACGAATAAAGCCAAGACATATCTTATTATATGTTTTATTGAATTGGAATATAAACCGAAAACAGATTAACACTCCGTGTAGGGTATTTCTTTCAAATATTGTGAAAGGGTTGACACTAAAATTTAAATTATCATTGTGTTATTAAACATTGAGTATTTCTTTTCTCTTCTGTAGTCGCCCCAACATGTTTTTGTCACACGTTACGTCTGCTAAAAAACTCAATAGAAACGAGTAATGTATTATGAAAGAAAATTTGTCTATACATAAATATATCTCACGTGAAAAGGTTCAACCTAAGAACGGTAGTTGCACTTGTCTGGTGGGTGTAAGTCAACTTGCTAGTCAACACGTATATTCGGGTTCGGTCACGGTTTTTGTAGTTTCTCCTTTTTGTCGTTCAGCAGAACGGGGGAGGTGTGTGTTTGTGTGTGTGTGGGTGTGTGTGTGTGTGTGTGGGGGGGGGGGGGGGTAGCGTCTATTCGTTCGTATCGTTTAGACAATGGCGTAATTGCCATTTGAAATCCGAAATAAGAGCAGGTCTAATGCCGTTGTCCGGGCAAAAGTTCCTTCATTGCTCACTGTATGGCATATGCTCACCATCATTGGCCTGGAAAAAGCAGAAAAGTTAGAAATTAAACCCTAACGTGTAACCGTAGCGCCGCTGCCCGGGCAAAATTTCCCTCATAGCGCACTGTATCTCGTATGCCCGTCTTCATTAGCCCAGGTTAGAAGCAGAACAGAGGACGTTAAACCCCATTTATTTCATTTCTAACGTGTAACTCTTATCGTGTACAATACACAACGTGTATCTGCTCCACCAGCTGTATCTATTACTGACCGTACGACGCAACATGTAACTCTTATCGTGTACAATACATCACGTGTCAAAACATGAATTTAGGACACCCTATGTATCTGTTATGGATGTGTCTATTACTCATTTAAGACGCCCTGAATATCTGTTACTGTACGACTGAATGTTTACCTCTTACTGAATGTAAGCCACGGCATGTATCTGTTGATAACACATCCTGTGTATGTTACTGAAATACACCAGCTATGTTACTGACTGTAAAACGCGGCATGTATACGTTACTGAATGTAAGACATCCCGTGTATTTGAATCGGTTACTGACTAAGGCAGGGCATTTGTCTGGTGTTGACTGTAAATGAAATGCAATGGGGTTTATCGTCCTACTGATCTGCTCCGACTGGACTAATTAAGACGGACATACGCTATACAATGTGCGATGAGGGAAATTTTGCCCGGACAGCGGCACTACAGCCTATTCTTTTATCGAATTCCAACTGCCGAAGGATCATTAACGTTCACGTCAATGTGTACACGGTACCTCGGTTTTTCGTCCCATCCGATCGACTAGATAGATGTACTTACAGTGTAAATATGTATACAAAATATCGTTGATTAAGTATTCATTGAATTGTTTTGTTGTTAACCCATTTATTTCTTTTCAAAATCCATAAAAAAAAAATGACAACGAGAAACCACGCCGGAAAAACCTGATGAACTTTCAGCGAGAGCGAACCCGCGACCTGCAGGCTAGCGAGTCAGCGTCTTACTCACTTAGCTCCCTTGTGTTGACTGTAACACAGGCAGACATATACCAAATTTATCCTTTACTAACAATTTATTATATTACTGTTATTATCTCGATTGGTAGATTTACGATTGTAGGATGTGTCATTTGTTCTAAGTGTAACATACTGAAAGTAAGACACGACATGTATAGACTGTAAGACACAAAGCATACGCGTTACTAAAGTAACTCCGCATGTATCTGTTACTAACTTTAACGGAGAATACTACCTCAAAAAGTTGTCTTAATATAGAAAACAATAACGTTAATATTAGACCCTGCGAAATTTTAAAAGTGATTCTGAATATTTTAACAAAGGAAAAATATACCCCCCCCCCCTCCCAAAAAAAAAACCAAAACAAAAAAAACAACCGGAATTGATATTTATGCTTATCTGCAGCCTCGTTTTGATTTTTTTCCGTCAGTGACGTCAGAGAATTTTGAGAGGGGTTCACTCACTAGTCCGCGGGTGCACTAGTCCGCCTTTATAAAAATACTATAAATATGGGTTTAAAAAAAAACCTGCAGGTATATGGTGGCTGATTGATATCATGTCATAAGGCGACAACCCTACATCACATTTTAAATCGACAATACGACATTTTTACCTGATACCACAACATTAACAATGTCGCGTAAAAATGTGATATTACCCTGTTAAAATGTCGTGATGTCGAGTGTTGGTCAAGTAAGTTCCCCGGGATATTGCAGCGTGGTTTCTCCCTTTCGGTAGTGCCGGACGAAGGGCTTGGCAAAGAACTTAATTCTTTGCCAGGTTTTGGTGAATATTTCAAAACTTCAATATTTATACATGTAAATTATAATTATTGCAATTTAAAGCAGCAAGAATTGTCACAGGATGCACAATTTACACACTGAG